TTTTTAATTTTACAAAGGTCGTCGCATTGGTTTATCCGGTTGATTGGATAAATAAATTTTATTTGTTGATGTTGAATGAGAAAATGTATGAGTTGGTGATGGATTTATTGGACTTGACGATGAAGGAGAATCTTGTTGATAATCTGGTGGCATTGGTAATGAACGTGTTAAATGGGTTTGACCAACAGATGGTGGAACAATTATGGAATTTGCTGCTGATGATGATATTGGTCGACGACGTGTCGTATTCAAACTTAAATATAATAGATTAAAGAATGCAGAGCATAGTCTTTTGTTTCAATTTACTCGAAATGATTTGTATTTGAAGTAGATGTTAATGATATGCCAGATGATTTAATATTTTTCTATTAAAAGAAACAAATACAAATTAATTTCTTAGTTTTTCTATTAAAGCTACTCTTTGACTACTTCCTATTTAACTAACACGTTAACAGTTGAGAGAAAAATCTTATTATAGAAAAGTAGTTGAACACTCATACATTTATTCATTATTGAATTGGAGATCTTTTGATGATATGCAAATGATTAATGAGTTTTTCTTCAATTTATTGTAATGTAACAATAATCTCTTTTTTTTTTGAATTATTTTGTATTATATAGAAAAATTCGAACTTACATCATTATTATTTATTTGATCATTTTGTATTTGATTATCTGATGTTGTTATTGTTTTATTTTTAGTTGTTTTTGGTCTTAATTTATCAAGTTCTGAACCAAGTGTTCCTTTTGTTAATTTTCCATGTTGATTATGCTCATAATCATTTGTTGGTGAATATTGATTATTATCACTTGAACGTGATGATAATGGAGATGATGATGGTGATGATGATGATCTTCGTCGATGTTTTGAACTTCTTGAATGATGATGTGAAGAATAAATTGTTGATGGACTTGATCGTCGATATTTTTTAGATGAACGATGATTACTATGACGATCATTATCAATATGATAATGTTTACGTTTTTTATTTTTTATATCAAAATCAATATCATTTGATTGTGATATTGGATCAAATGTATGACGATGTTGTTGAGAAATATGATAATAACGATTTGATGTTGATTCATGTCGAGAATATTTTGATGATGATGATGAACGTTGAAAATTTCTATTATTTAATTAAATAAATAGAGAATTATAAGATGTCTGAAATGAGAAATTTAAGGAAAGTTCTTTTTTTTCTCTGCTTTAGATAGAGTATGAGAAGCTGAATCTTGAAAATTCATTTATAAATGAATTTCCAAGATTCAGTTTTGAAACTTAAAGGAAATGGAGAAATTGAATATTTGTTGCTTATCGAAAATTGATTCGTTTTTTCAGAAAAATCAAGTTATGTGAAAAAACTGAAAATGCACATAATCATGAATCAGTTTCTTACGCTCTATCTAACCACACATATAAAGCAAAGAAAAAAAAATTCTACTTTAAAGTTGTACATCCGATACCTTATAAAAAGAAATCAGAAAACTTACCTATCGGTACTAATATCATGGGGTGATGAACGATGTGATGATGTTGTTCGACGAGATTTTTGATTATCATTATCACTATCTTTATCGAATGAACGACGTCGATGATGTTTATGTTTTTTTTTTGTTGTTGATGAACGATGATGTTTATCAGATTTTAATGTCACACTAATTGGTGATGAAGATTCAGGTGATATTGTTTCAAGTAGGGATTGATTTTGTTGATAAAATGATGAATCATGTACATTGGTTCGATGATAATTATTATTATTATTATTATTATTGTGAGAATTTAATGAAGACGACATTAACGTTTTTGAAAAACAAATCGTCATACGATATCAAAAAAAATTAATAAATTTAATACCAATCTAATTTAAATATTTTCATTTGAATGTTTGTTTTTTTTTTCTATGAATTATATGTCGTTTACTTACGAGAATAATTTAATGATGATATTGTAGAAAGTTAATTTAAAAAATAATCAAAAGACATAATATATCAAACGAATAAATATACAGATGGACATGTAATGAGCAAAAAACAACAGACGTCTATGAAAATGTTAGCATGAATATTTAGCGGAAACAGATTTTTTTTTTATTTATTGGTTTAAATAAAAAAATAATTGTCCAATCAAAAAATGATGTTGTAAAAAATACTTTGGTAATGTGTGACATCACAATTGAATTTATGGTGCTACAATCAACATGAATATCTTAAGATTAAAATATCTATTCTACTTATGAGAAAATGAAATAAAAAGATAAAAGTTTATTAAAGAAAAATAATCTGATTTTCAAGTGACAGAAATCATCATATAACGTTACGAATATTTAAAAAAATGACTGAAACTCATCAAATATCATTGGAAATCAATCCGTTTCCCTTTAATTATCAATTCGAATTTATTATAAATTTAATTATACTTTAAATAGAGAAGAGAAGAAAAGAAAAGCAATAGTTATGTTAATAGTCAAATGACGTCAAGTAAGAAATATTCTTCGAGAACACTTTCAATGATTTTGGAAAACATATGCATAACAGACTTCGGAATTTGATCATGTTTTGATGGTTTAATCCGTACCGGGCCAAAAATTGTTCATGCTTACCCGAGACAACTTCTATTGTATTAGAGTCCGATCCGACCCAATGTAGGATGGTACTATTAAAAGTATATTTCTTTTACAAAAAGGACTTCTACATGATGGAACTTCACAATCACTGTAGTCCTTTATTCAAACATTGTAAAAATTTTATTATCATGATGATCATACGTTGAATGAGATCGGATGATTTTAACGCTTGTGAAAAACAGTATGAGAGATAAGTCGAATTACTTATTGAACTCAAAAAAAGCAATATGTGTTCGTGGGTACTTCAACTTCTTGAAGACTTTCATTTATTAACCTAAGCTTTCATGAGTAACATGCCCGCTGATCAATTTTAAAATGTAAAATCCATGTAAGAAATTTTGGAGAAAAATCAAAATCAAATCGATTAAAATCAGATTTTTTTCTGTTTTCTTACATAAGAAATCTTCTTTGAAAGAAAGAGATAACGTTCGAACCGAGCGATTCGACAAAATTTTAGACGCACCCGACTCGAAGAAAAAATTTCTTTGGGTCGAGCGATCCATTTCGAGTCCTACTGTATACATTCTAATTATTTTATTGAGCCATATTTCATACGTTTATAACTTTTAAACGCCTGTAAGTGATTCAAAAACAGTTGCTGTTTTCCAGCAGAAAAGTAACCATTATTTTTTCAACATTTTCACATTGTTGCTGTATCAAATTAGAGAAGTGTCTTTATGTTAGACATGTGGATATTGCATCTATTCTTTTCTTCGCCACGATCTAAAGTAATTTAAATATTTAAATGAAAAAAAAATCAATTTTAATTTCTTATATTACTTTTAAATTTTTTTTCCATGTTAATTTTTCACGAAAACTCATTATAAATTTCTTCAAAAGGAATTACTATTAATTGATGTTTTTTGTTAATATCATTAAATTTTGTTAAACGTTCTTCATTAACTCTTGTGAATCACGTATGTCTAGCTTTTGGAAGCACGAATAGGATACCTCAATATAATGCCCAATTTTTCTTATTTTCGATTAAAATTGGACATAGCGAGTCATTGGACATGAAAATCATATTATTGTTTCTATGCTGCGACCATTCTCTGATAGGAAATGGTGATTTTCGCGTTGGTTCCAAACGAAAATCACTAGAACTATCTACGTAAAAATTTGATCATAAAAAAAGATGTGTTTTTTCATCATTTTATATTTCATTTGAAGAAAAAATAAAGTAATTGATACGTTTATGACAAATATTTACTCTATTTCTTAATCTGAAGCATTGAGAACAGATTACACATGCCTGTCCAACTACATAACACACATCCATGTTTAGGTCATAATAAGAAGAGAAAAAAACCTTCTGTTATTTAACGAAAAATATCAGCAATCGAATTTTCAGATATTTAACTATGCTGTCACATGATTGCAAATTTGCTATAATCCTTAAAATTTCAACATAACGTATTAAGTAGAGAATAAAAAATGAATAAATCTTACTCATATTAATGTTCATACTAACTGTCCGTTGTTTGTCAATAGTATATCACATAGATCAACACCAGTTTTCGTTAAGAAAAGAGAATTTTAAAAAATTAATTCATTTAAAAGTCTCTACCGAATAAAAAAAATATATCACTTCTATTATTAGTATTGAGAGAAAATCTGTTTTTCTTTCTATCAAATAAGCTTTTTGCATTATCTTACGATTTAGAAAGGAAGCTAGTTCAGAAAGCCAGAAAAAATAGAAAAGACCATAGACGATAAAAGATAGAGCAAATAATAAAGCAAAATTATTATTGTGACATAGATCTAAATTCATCGAAATTCAATATACAATCAAATATTGCTGCATGACAAGGATAGAATGAAAATATTGTGCGTATATGCTTATTGATATGTTGACATAAACGGTTTTGGAAAAGAAAAATTGTATAGGTCGGTACTTCTATCATAGCATGTAAATAGAAAAAACATGAAGAAATTTATTCTTTATATTTGCTTATCTTTTATTTTTGGCTATTTTCTTCCTTTTCGTTTCTATATAGTGATCCATTTCTATATTTAATGACACATTTATAGATTATCTTCATCACTATGACATTGTATATTCTAATCAGTACGATTTATATCAACTCGTAAATCGTATAGTAAATGAAAAATATTGTTTTGAAATGCTTTTATACATTTCGTGATATTTAAAAATATCAAAAAGTATTATTTTCATAATCAAACAACCAATTTAGTATTATTGTGCAATAGCGTGTGTTTAGTTACATCAAACATTTATTTTTCTTTATCGTTTCTCCTTTTATATTGGTTATCTTATTGTTTATCTATTCACCATATAATCATATACAACAAGTTAAAGTACAAATAGACCATTACGTTGACTGACGAAAAAAGACAAATATGGCGAATCCAATGCGAGCATTTGCTTCGGATAATTATGCTGGAGTTTTACCTGAAATAGTATCTGCATTATCAAAAGAAGCTCTATCAAATTCACATGCACGTGCTTATGGTCATGATGATATTTCACATGAAGTACGTCTTGTAATTCAAGAAATATTTAATTCTTCATCAGATGATCCATCACCTGATGTTTATTTTGTTTTTAATGGTACTGGTGCTAATATACTTTCAATTCTTTCTTGCACTCATTCTTATCATGCTGTTCTTTGTGCGGATATTTCACATATAATTTGTGATGAATCAACATGTCCCGAAACAGTAGCTGGTGTACGATTAATATCTATACCAACTGATGAAAATGGAAAAATAAATATTGATATAATTGAAGAAAAATTAGATCGTATTGGTGATATGCATGCAGCTCAACCACGAATGTTAACAATAGCACAACCAACAGAATATGGAACTGTCTATACAATTAATGAACTTAAACAATTATCAAATTTAGCTAAAAAATATAATTTATATTTTCGTAAATCTTTTTTTGTTGTTTTTTTTTATTCTTAAATTTTATTTATCAATTTTAGACATTGATGGTGCACGATTATTTAATGCTGCATCATCATTAAATTGTAATCTACGTGATATAACAACATTGGTTGGTGTTGATATTCTTTCATTAGGTGGTACTAAAGTAAATATTTAATAAAATATAAATATGTCTAATATTTATCTTTTAATTTAGGCTGGTTTAATGTATGGTGAAGCTGTGATTGTTTTTAATCAATCATTAATTCAAACTAATGGTAATACAATTAGTCCATTAAAATATCGTCATAAACAAGTAATGCAATTAGCATCTAAACAACGTTTTATAGCTATACAATTTTTAACTTTATTAAAAAATGATTTATGGAAAAAATCCAGTGAATATTCAAATTCAATGGCACAATTATTAAAAAAACGTCTTGAATTAATTTCGGAAAAAACTAATAAACAATTAATACGTATAACAAAACCTGTGGAAACAAATGCTATTTTTCTTGAAATACCAAAAGATTGGTATGAACCATTATCAACAATATTTCCATTTTATATGTGGAGAATTAAAAATTGTGAAGTTCGATTAATGTGTTCATTTGATACAACTGAAAATGATATTGATCAATTTATTAACAAAATTAATGAACTTATTCAAAGTTAAAAAAATTATTTTTGCTTCTTAGGATTTTTTAGCATATTAACATTAAGTTATAATATAAAAAGATTTGTTCTTGAGTTGTTTTTGAAATGATTGTTTTTTTTTTCTGCTAAATAAGTTCACATTGAAATTTTAATAAGTATATCTAAGAATTTTAATAAAATATTTCATCTGAACTTTTAATAATTTTTATTTATGATGAGTAAATCGAATGTTTTGAATTTTAGACTTCTTAGTTTTCGATTGAAACTGGAATAAATTTACTACTATAATTATTAAATTAGTAATATGTTGAGAATGTCAATTCATTTTTTTTTTGATTACTGTTAGTTATTTCAGTTCAAAAAAATTCCCTGTTCAAACATTATTCAACATTGAACTTATTATTATAACATTAATATTCGAACCCAAGGTTTTCTTTTCTAATCAAGCAAACACACTTCGTTGTGAAGCATTCACTTAACCACTTCTGATTTATCATAATATGAAATAAGGTTAAAATAACAATGCTTACAGCTATAATGAAGGTCTCCTATTCTTTATAGAATTTTTCAAGATCTTTATATTTATCTTTCAATGAAATAGAAAACATATCAATTCAATTTGAATAAAGACATACTTCAAACGAATGACCTTTCACCATTAGTCCATCTATTTGAGATTCAAATAAACATCACAATGGCAAAAAAAAAAGTATCGACAAAAAGAAAACCTTAATTATCATTTAAAAAAAAAACAATGTACAATAAAAAAAGAAAACAAAAATTGGAAGAAGAATATTCATTAATGTTAACAAACAAAAGTAAATATTTTCAATAATCGCAGAATTACTATATAACATATATTCAAAATCTAGATATATGAGCGTGAACAGTCGGATTAGTATTCCGATCTTATTTTTTTAATGTCTCTTCAAGTATATATTAGAAAAATATGATTCTTTTGCTACTTATAGTATACATATAATACTAGCGATCTGTTATTATTGAAGCTCTATGTCTTATTAAAAACAAGAGTTGTGAAACATATCCTTATAATCATATTATAAAAGATACTCCGTATGAAATTTTTTTCAGTTGCATCAATTTTACTAAATATTTAAAACAACATGAAGTATTAGCAGCAGAACTTTAGTAGCAAGTATAGCTAACGTATGCTGTTGTACATTTATGAATCTTGTGACATTTTGAATCGTGTTTACATAGAAATTATCGATGACTTTCATAAAATTAGCGTTGCCGTACTTGTTGCTTTCACTTAATGTAATATGAACTGAACTAACTATTCTATTCATAAGCATACAACATGAGATATTAAATATACTTGCTAATAAAGTTCTGCTGCTAATACTTCATGTTGTTTTAAATATTTAGTAAAATTGATACGAATGAAAAAAATTTCATACGAAGAATCTTTTATAATATGATTATAAGGATATGCTTCACAACTCTCGTTTCTTATAAGACATAGAGCTTCAATAATAACAGATCGCTAGTATTATATGTACACTATAAGTAGTAAAAGGATCACACTTTTGTAATATATACTTGAAGAAACATTAAGAAAATAATAAGATCGGGGGTACCAGTTCGGCTGTTCACGCCTATATATATATATTTATTAAACCATATACAAAGTTAAATTTTGCGAAACGACAAAAATTATCATACACACATCCAACTAAACTACACACGTTCGCTAATCACATAAAAATTTTCATTATATTCACTTAACTCGTATGATATAATCATATCATATGTATATATATTTTTTTTTTTTTGCAAATATTAGGAAGACAAGAAAACATAAAAAACCCAGAAATAAGAAATTCCAAACTAACAATTATTTTTTTCCGACTACCACATTAGACAAAAACGCATATACATAATGAATAGAAAAAAACACGAAACCAATACACAGATACATAGATTCTAAAAAACAAACAAACAATTAATACAAAGAAAACATTCTCTACTAAAATATGATATAAAGGAAAAACGACGACACGTGAGAAGATGATTTTTATTGTTGCACGTATCAAATCAACAAAAAAATGCAAAAGATAATTAAGAAGAGTTCATTTTTTCTTTTGTGTATGGATACCAAAAGAATATCTGATCTACCTATTGAAAAAAAAAAGATAAGCACCCTTCAAGCTATTTCAATTGATGTAAATTATGTTTTTTCTTTTTTCGAGATTAACGAAAGACAAATGGTGTTAAACAAAAAAATAAAATAACACAAAGGAAATAAGCACATTAAATTGGTTGTTCATCATTTAATTTTGCTTTTGAATGTTGTTGTTCATCTTCATTAGTTGTTAAAGTTTCTACTATATTTGTTGATGATGGTTTAGTACATCGACATAATTTACTAAATCTAATCAACAAAAAAAAAAAACATGTTTTTTTAAATAAATAAAATACAGAAAAACAAAAAAAAAAAAAAGTCAAATTTTATTTTGAATATCTTACGGTATATCAGCAAATTTATCAATTGGTCCAATAAATGAAAGTAATGGTAGAAAAAACCATGTTGCATATAACCAACTAATAAACATAATTAACATAAGAAAAAATCCCATTTGTGAAAATGATGTTAATTTGCTTGGTGACATTGATAAACCAGCAAGAAATGATGTAAAACCAGCTATAAATACAGCTGAACCAACACGAATAAGACTATTTTTAATACGACGAAAACGTTGTAAATTTCCTTTTTTATGCCAAATTTTAATACGTTTAAATAATGATGGTTGAGATAATTTTTTTGTTTTTTGAGGTACTTGTTCTAATAATAACTGTTCTATTGGATTTCCATTATTTAAATGAAATAATTTTAATGCATTTGATGTTCTTCGAATATGTGCCTGATATTTTTCCCAATCAGCTTTTATATAAGCAACACCATAATGTACAGCTATTAAAAAAAATTTAAAGTTTACTTTAAAAAAAAAAGCAAACAAACAAATAAACAATATTTTTCTTACTAAAATCTACACTAAGACCAACACTCATAATAATAATAATTGTTTCAAGAATATTTAATTCCCAACCACATAATACAAATATTGCAACAGTATCAGCTATTATAAATGTTATTGTTATCATAGCATATAATGTTATTACAACATTTCCAGATGTTAATAAAAGTACAAAAAATGCAAATACCATAGAAAATATTAAAGATGTATATGTACCACGAATAACTTCACGCATTAAATCATAAAATAAAAATTGAGATGAAACAAACCAACTAAAATAAACATAAGATTAATATAGATACGTTAGCGATAATGTCTTTGATATACGAAATGTAAAATATATTGATATAATTTATTTTAGTTTCGAACTTAGCGAAAACTTTTTTTTTAGTAGGGTAGAGTTTGATGGGCTCTAGTCGTCTAAGAAATATATGTAGAATGCGCGCTAATCAATGAATACAAAAGAAAATTCCAATTAGAAGATTTCATTGGAAACATCAAAGTACGATGTTCAATCGAGTCCAAAAACTTTGCATTCAATGGGCACTATAGTAGAGTATCTGATATATTACACACATGTATAATTTTCAATTATGCTTCTTTATGGATACTAATAATGTTACTTTCGGAACTTTTATATTCATGACTAAGATTAACTTGTTAAATGTTCTATATTTAATACTTTTACTATAACAATTTTATTCTTGTTTCATGATGAATCAATTCAGATTCTTCTGTGTTGTAGAACGAAAACAATTATTGTTTATATCGATAGAAAGCTAACAATGAAACTTTGTGTAATGTAAGTTGAAAAAGAAAGAACAAATTTCGATCAAATTATCACTTTGATTAATAAACGAATGTATTCAAAATATGAGTTGCCCACCTATGATGAACTTCAATTGACAAATGAACGTTGTAAAGTGATTTATCACTTTTGAAATGAGTCTCATCACATTAGGTAGATCTTATTGAGATAAGACAAAGCTCACAAGAATTCGTGTTCATGGATCTTTCTTCTTGCCCTATGGACACTTGAGTAAGTTTTTCAACAAAATATCTCTATGTATACTTCATAATAGCAGATACGAGGAAATCTAAAATATAGCTATAACATCAGAAGAAGGATTTACAAGCACGAATTCTTTTAGTCTTAGTAGGATCATCTCAAATATGAATTTTCATTTTGCAAAATTCAGCTTCTAAAATATAGAACCATGATATGACGAAAATTTTTGTATATGATCATAAGATATTTTTAGAAAGTGAGTTTCCGAAATCTTGTTAAAATTTATTGATTACATTAAGATTTCACTAGATTCAACCATTGATGAAAGTCCAGTAGAATCAAGTTCGAAAAAGATAAATTTTGTCCCTGGACTATGACTCATAGATAAGACGACTATAAAGCTACGGAGCACAGAACTAACTTTGCTATTATCATTTCATTAGAAGAATCTTATCTTAATTTGAAATAAACCTATTGAAATATTATTTTCAATAATCGATTGTTTCAAATTAAAATAAAATCGAATGTATTGATAATTTATAAGTCTTAATAAATAAAAGATGATTTTATTTTTTCTATATCAGTTTTCTAATATAACTTTTAATTTAAATCAAATATACTAGCTTTTCTTCAACTTAAAATCAAAAGGTTCGAATGTAAGATGAGTATTACTATCGCGTTATTTAATAACAAAGCGAAAATAAAGATATTACTTTAACATTATAGTAGATTTCTTAAATAATTGTTTATTGCTACTTGATGAAAATCTCAAATTAGAATATATATGAGCTTATGTCGCTTTTTTGTTTTGTGTATAAACGGTGGTTCATGTGAAATGTTCTCTCTCTCCAAAACCACGTGAACCGACTGACAAAGAGAACAATACTAGGTTATTGACAATCGAACTTATTTTTTTTCAAATTTCATTTCCCTTTTTTTTTTTTTTGTAATAAAGCACTTTGTTTTTAAATTATCAATAAAACTTTTTCTTACCCATGTTTAACTTGTTCATAAACATGTCCATTTAAACCTTCAGATAATTCTAATTGTTCTAAACGTTTATCAAAATATTCTTCTAATTTTTGATAATAAGCATGTTGAACAGAAAATGTATCAAATGTAACATTCATATTAACAAGAAATAAAAATGCACGTAAATAATATGTTTTAGGATCAGGTAAAAATCCAAGTCGAAAATTATCACTTCCACGATTGCCATCATTTGATGATAAAACTTGTTTAGAATCACTAACAAATCTAAATAAACGATTCATTGCAATCATTGTATCATTACGTGTTGATGGAACAAAAAATTCATTTTCATTATATTTTATATCATTATTTGAATTTGATGTTAAAAATCCACGTAATAATTGACCTATTAAAAATACAAAAAAAAAAACGAAATTTTATTCAAATATAAAATTTCGTCATTATTTTTCTCTTACCAATTGTTAACCAGTGTGCGTAAGTGTCTTGAACATTAGTAAATAATTCACTTCGATTAAGATCTTTTAAAAATGTATCAAACCATCGTAATGTATCTGGATCATAAAAATCAATTTTTTTATTATAAACTAAATTATCATTATCAATATATCGTTGTTGATCAGGATTAAATGGATGTACTAAATCAGTATCTTCAATACCAAATATAAATACTAATAAAGGATTTGTTATATTATCTTTATCTTCATTAATATAAGATAAAAATTCATCACGCATTTGATATTCAAAACGTTCAAATGGATGTGATAATTGAAAAAATTGATAACGACGAGATTTTGGTGGAGTTAATTTTGGATGATAAAAAACAATAAATAAACCAACAATACCAAGTATTAAAAAAATTATTATTAAAATATAACGAAGTTTTATTATAATACGTGGAATATAAACAGTAAATATAGCATGATTAAGACGAGTTAATGTTATCATTATTTTATCAAATACTTCAGGAAAATGATTAAATAAACCAAAACGAGCTGATAGAGGTTCACAAATTTTTTCATATACAATTACAAATGATACAATCATTGTTACATTCATTAGAAAATTAAATAATATACAAAGTCCCTATTTGCAAAACAAAAACAATAAAGAAAAAAAGAAATTTGTTTTTCTGGAATATCAATTAGGTTATAGAGATTTATTATTATCTGAAGTTTGAAAAAGCTTTTTTGCAAGATTAAAATCTGATATACGATGTAGCTGCTGTTGCTAATTATAGGAAGATTGTATCATTCTATCTATTTTACAATACATTTCTTGACCATACTTTTACTGAATCCTCTACTAAACACAATAAGGAAGTTGGTGGTATATTGTTACAAGCCATTATTGATATGTAGTCTATGATGAGGAAAGATGCAAATTCTTACTCTAAATACTTCAACACTATTTTTAGATCGTGTTGTACAAAATCTGAAATAATATTTTTTTCATTTAATTTTTTTTTTCTGTAGAGAAAACTTTGAGAGTAGTCTTCTATGATCTTATTGTTGCGTCATGTATAAACAGAGAGTATTTCTCTTAGGTTTTATTCATATCAGTAGCTTCTATAGATTTTTCTATAACATATCATTTGTTCTTGATTTTCTCAGTAATCGTTATAATATTGTTCATCATATTTTTCCAAAAGTTAAATATTGAAATCTAAATAGCTTTGAGTCAATATTTGGAAAACTATGTCAGGTCAATATCTTGATAGGTCAATTACTATATTGAAACATGAAAACTCTTTAAGGTAGCTTAACATTTTGGTGATCATCTCTAAATTCTATCAATCATAGAGAAAACATCGAATTTTGAAATTCCATATACTATTATAGTGACGAAATCAGAATTTGAAGTATGAAGGACTCGGATGCCCGGACTTTGCCTAGTGGAGAAAAGGCTCAACTATTCCTATCTTATTTGGTTACGCTACTATTCTATTAATGATACGTAAAAGATAAAATATTTGTTCATTAAATCCTTCCTCAATCAATCTGCCTAGGAATGTGAACTTTCAGTTTACTGAATACCGATACTAGTGCAATCAGTGACCCAATGGACTCCTGTGTCAATGACTCAATGTTCGGTATTTACACCAAAAGTGCAGATTCCTACATTCTATAAATAGAAAGCAACACAAGTCAAAATCCATTAATATTCCTTTCAATTAATCATCAGTTTTTTTCTGACATAGAAAATGTTTATATTGACAACTCTTCATTAATTCAAATATATCAAATTAGATAAATTCTATAGAAAGTTGATTAATAAATCTGGGATTTTTTTTTTTGAAGAATCTATGAAATTTCTCTGATTATCATTAAACTCGAAAAGATTCTCAAAGCCTATTATCTGTTTATGACTAGATTTTCTCCCATCAATAACATTCAAACTCAGAATTTCTAATTGAACGATTGTTTTTTTTTTTGTTTGTAAGTAAAAACTTACCATAAATAAACCAAATAACTGTACATAAGCAATACGTGATATCATATTCGTAAAAAACGCTGCTGATGTTGTAAAACTTGTTACAAAAACACTAGCTGCTGCATGTCTTAAAACTCCTATTAGCATTTGTATCATTTGTTCATCATTGACTTTCATCATCCGTATTAAATCTGTATTTTTAATTGAATCAAAATGTTCTTCTTCTCCAGTTTGATCTTTTTGATGTTGTTCAGAATCATTTCTTGCTATTAAACGCTTTCTTAATATTGCTGCTGTATATTCTCGATCACGACGATATTGTTTTTCTTGTTTATCGGTTAATTTTCCATAAAATTCTACAGAACGACTTCGTAAACGTGCTTCATTATAAATATCTAATTTTTCTGAATACCATGCATCAAATATAACAAATACATTATCACATGATATGCCAATTAAAATAAATGTTGCCATTAAATTTATATATGGAAATAAATCAATACCAAAAATTATTTTATATGAAAAATAAGCACAAGCAAATGATAAAACTACACATATATTTGTCATTAATGCCACAGTTATTGAGCGAAGATAAATGATTGTCACCTTAAAAAACAAAAATCAGAAATTTAATTTAATTTAATTTTTCTTTTTTGTCTAAACTTACTCCAACAATTAATGATATAGCTAATATAACAAAAAACATATCAGCACGAATTTGTTTCATAGCTGAAGGAATTCGAATATCCATAAAATTTAATGCAGATACTCGTGTTTTATCATCATCAAATTTTGGATTTTGATAAAAATGTTCAATAAATAAATCATGTGCAGAATTTGCATTATGAATTTCACTTCCATTAGCAGTTATTATTGGTTTAGTTGGTTTTAAAAACCACATAGCTGTATAACGTGTTTGATTTGTTGATAAAAATGTTTTATCTAGTAAATATTCTAATGTTAAAAATGTAAAATTATATCGAAAACACGAATCATATTGAAATAAATCGATTGGTGCAGCACGATAACGATTTAAACCGGCTAAACGAAGAAGACCAGTATCATATAATGCATGACAACGTTGTATACGATCAATAAAAATGTTTATATCATTTGCATTTAATTGTCGACAATCTGATTTATTAGAAAAATAAGCAACCATTTCTGGTAATGTATAATGACATGTTGAATGTAATTGAAATAATTCAACAAGTTCATATTGTTTTTTACATAATGATAATAGATTATCAATATTTAATAAATTTGGAGATGATTTATCACTTGATTCAAAATAAACTTCATAATGACGATCTTAAGAAAAATATTTAGATTAACATAGAATTAACATAGAATTTTAAGAAAAAGATTTCTTTTGTTTTTTGTTCAAGAACTCTTCAGTCTGATATTCTCTTTCAATACATATGTTTTTGTACAATAATTTATCATTTTCTTATTTAAGTCTATACTTCAGTAAGGCACGAGGTTTCTCGATGAATCATTATAGTCGAAAAACATAACAGTAGTGAAAAACTGATTCATCATTATTGTAAGTACATTAGATAAGAGAAAAAGATTATCTTTCACGATCTCGTTTTTAGAAAAACAAAAATTACATGTATATCACGTTTCAATTACTAATAAGTATGGGTCAAAGTACATCGAAAAGAATATTTAAATCCGTCATGTTCTTCAAGTTTTTACAACTACTTATTTCTAAAACTATATAAATTAGAATATCATATTTAATTTAATAACAATCATGAAACTCTCAATGCTTTAGAACAAGCCGTGTTAGTGACTAAATTACGAAAAGAGTCTCTCAATTGATTAATTGATTTTGATTCAGAACTACATGCATATAATGAACTATGAATATCGTGAAAAGAGTTCTGGTCCTTACTGTATTATTGCAGAGATGTAGTATTTTACAGTAGTGTAGAAGATGATATTGTGCTCGTACGAAGAACTCCGGAAAATCTGATTTTAGAATATCAATTTGAAACTTTGTACAAAGACAGATTTTGACGAGATACGTTTATTGCAAAAGTTTCAAGTCTTTTGATTACCTCCTTTCTTGAAACGAGAATATCAAATCTGTCAGTAAGTGTATGGTTGACGCAAATGACATGCTTTTTACAATAGTCGTATTTTAGAATAGAAATAACGAAAAAAAATCTGAAGCTTTTCCAATAAACTATTCTAGTTAAGATCTGTCTCGATGTAAAGTTTCAAATTAAAATTCGAAAATCAGTTTCCTTAGCATTCACGAAAGGAATCATGATATTAACTTGAAAAATATCATAAAAATCCAGTATCTCTGCAAGAATAAGCTAAGCGGTCAAACTGTTTTCACAGTATTAATATCTCATTAATGTCTACGTTATGCATAATGTTTCGATTAAAAAGCGATTAATCGATTAGGATACTTTCAAATAGCTAATATATGGGGTTGCTCAGTCTGGCCGAAAGACCCATTTTGATAGAGTCCTATGGTAAGGATAAAACCTACTATTGTCCGGGTCATATGAGAGCGGATACCAGATAACCTTGGATTGGCCTAAACAACACCATGTTTTATCTGGACAATAATAAAAAAAAAGCTACCGGGATCTCGTATGACCTGGAAGGTGAGCTGGTAGCTTTTCTTTACTATTATACAGATAAAACATGGTGTTGTTCAGATCAATCCAAAGTTATCTGGTATCTGCTCTCATATGACCCGGACAATAGTAGGTTTTATCCTTACAATAAGACTCTATCGAAATGGGTCTACCGGCTAGACTGGTCAACTCCATATATACATATCTAAAAAGTTTCACATACTTAAATCAATCGATGTACACATATGTTCATTTGGTTTATAAAGTTGTTCTTCAATTGTTTTCGATATTTTCATAAGATCAGTTGTATTATGTAATAATGTATATACTTGTTGATTAGTTAAACATTGACTTCGACTTGATGGCACAAATGCGCAAGCATTTGGATTGGATACTAAATCAACTTTAAGTTCTATTTCATTTAAAGGAACATCATAATCTGAATCATCATCATCGTCGTCAATTTCTCCTTCTTGTTCTTCATGATTTTTATTTATTTGATTGATTAATAATGATGATTTTGTTGTTAATGATATTTTACTTTTATTACTTATTTTTGCTGCAGCTAATTGTTCAACAAGTTTATTTCTGATTTTTTCAAGAACAAATAAACGTGAAGTTAATGTATGTTTACCACGTGGAACAAAACCCTAAAATAAATTTTGAAATAGATTTCTTTTCTTAAAATAAACTTTACTTTTGTTGGATCATTAAAATCTGGTAAATCACGTAGTAGTATTGCAGATAAACCAAGAGCAATACAAATAGAAAATCCAAGTAATAAAAAGCACCATGAATGTTTAACCACAAATGTTGAATACCTATTATTAAAATTCAAATATAATTTAAGATAATATATTTTAATAATAACCTTTCTAGAGTTTTCTCAAGATAAAACTCTGCTCGAGTACTTATTGCACCTTTACAATCGATAGAAATCATATTAAATAACAAGGTCGTTTTGTTTTGTCCTATGTTTTATTAGTTTCTAAATCACGAGAGCAGTTTTTTATTTTTTTAGGTTTGAAATCACGTGGGTACTTTATTATTCATCCAATTATATGAGATAAGCAAGTTAATAAACGACGAAAATGACCTTCACGGTTTAGTGCTTATAGCTATGTATTATTCTATAACAGCATATTAAATTGAAAGAGAATGAGAAACAGGTAAACAAAGGTGTATGTATACATATCAGTGCAAAATTAAACAGAATCGATGAACCGATAAATAGGAAATTGTTAGTGTTTAGATTCATTCAGTAACAAACGTTAGTTAATTAAGAGTTTTGGTTTTTTGTTTTTTAGCAAAAAAAAAAAAAGTAAATAAATCTACCTGCAAATTTATTAGCATTACCATTGGTTCAGAAATATATATCATTATCAAAAAGGATATTTATACTGAACATTGCTGATACAATAGAGACAAATTATGTGCATAACGATTCTAGTTTGTGTTATGAATTGATAAAAAGTCTTTTCTTTTTTTTTTGTTTCTTTGAAAAAAAAATTTTATATTTAAGATTCTTACTTTCTATCTAAATACATTTTTGCTTCATCCATATTGTCATTTGTTTATTATTAAAAATTACAATTGAATTTGAAGGCAAAACATAAGAAAAAGGGTAAGAAAAAAAAAACAGACAAGCAAAATTCACAATGCAATAATAACAGATCTAGAATAGATAAAAAAGAATGACGATGTGTAACATGTGCTTGATAAGCGGAATTGTATGCGAAGCTCGTTTTTCAATTTACTAACGAGTTACACCATTTTTCAAATCAAAGATAAGAAGAAAGAGAAATATAATAATTGTATTGATATTCTCTATTATTTTTACTGTTAATAGCAACTACTAGAAAACAATAATACAAAAGGATTTTTGGAAAAAAAAAGCGAGAGATATAAATATATCCTAGTTATCTACGCATGTATGAGAGAAAGCAAAAACAAATGGACAATAATAAATATATGATGAATGATACTGTTTACTGTATATATTATCTGTACAAAAAAGAAAAATAGATTAATCTTGAACGTTTAATTTTTATATGTGTCGGTTATTGACATAATAAAAGTATTAGAATAAGAAAAGTGCACGATAATGATGAAAAATGGTTTTATTAGTTTTAGCACTATGAGTGATATGTCAAACAACAAATATTTAGAGAGGTTAAAGAAAATGAAACTAGAGCCGAAGAAAGAATGTAGGATTTAATCATCAATATTACCTCTTTAACAATATAAACGAAACAAAAACACATACTTGTTGAAAGCATACAATACTGAAAACATGAGATTATTTCTGATATGATTATTGTCGTTGTTATCTACGCCTTCATTCATTCATTCCAAAATAGTTTGATCAAAAGAAAAAAAAAAGTAACTCTCTTTATATTCTTCAAATTTTGTATTGTACATAAAACTAGGGGAGCTCAAGGGCATTTGTACTTTGTCATAGTAATAAAAATACGTTTTTCATCGTATGATCAGGATGGGGTGATCTCTATTGACAAGCACAAGAAGACATTGAAAATGAACTCTGACTAACTATTGGATGTAATTTAACCATTTAAATTTGAAATATGAACCTTTTTCAAATAGTCAAGTTTATGAAAAACATTTCTTTTTTTATCACAAACACTTATGATAAAATGATAAATTAATATATGTTCTCTTAAATTATGAAATCATAAAAAATATTGAATAAGATGTCGCACACATACTACATACCATTCACAAAACCAACAAGGCCGACTAACTAAATTGTTAACGATAGACGAAGCAAATGAACTAACTGTTCTCTTACGATGATGTTGATTTTGAGAGTCTGGGATAGGTTCTAAAAATAAAGAAATCTTTAAAAATCTTCTATAAATGTTTTTTTTGATTAGAAAAATTTCATTTATATTTTTTTTAAACTAAATTTTAATTATCCATTCAAAATTAATATTTTCTATATAAAGATAAATTATATTAGATAAAAAAAAACAATTTATTTCAAAATAAAATTAATTAATTCTAATAACTTACCTGAATGATCGGATATATAATCATCATCGGTCTCATTATTGATATTTCCTTGTTGATTCATAACTGAAAATTTGTTTGAAATAAATAATATTTAAATATTATAAAAGAAAATATATTAAATATTGACAAAACATAAGTTAAATAAAAGTTTTGTGTAGTCCAATATATGCACTTTCATCTTCAACATAACTAACAGGGAATATAAGATAAGAATTTTTTCATATTGTTACGTCCTTTTGAAAATAACGTCATTCTCATAATATACAATTTACCATTCGAGGTCAGCATCTCGTGTTTTATTTTTTGTTTTCATTGAAGATATCAACTAAAAAGAGAATAATAAAAAAATAAGAAAGAAAAATTAAACGACAAACACCATTTTTGTTTTATCATTTTGACACATATATGAATTTAAAGAATTCAGTACTTCAAACTATTATCTTTAAATTTCGTAACTTTACAATATACAATAGAATCATAATTATGTATCAAATTAAAAAATGATTTATACTCATTATAAATTAGTTTTTTTTTATTGTTTATATGATAGATTAAATTCATGTTTAATTTTACAAATATAATTATTTGAATATCTTTAGTTTAGAATAAATAAACAATGAATAACAATCGAAATATTAATTGATTTTATTTTTTGACTTGCTATTTATTATGGATTCTCTTAAAAATAGCGAATCCATTATATTAGAGAGAAAGAAAATAAAAGCTAAAGAAAAATATCATGCCATTCTACTTAGTTCTTACCAAGGATGGTATTAATAATCTTATCTTGCTTGGTATACAACTGATTCTTTCCTTCTGTGTGCATTAGGAAAGGAACTTCCTTGGTTTTTCTTTTTTTTTGACGATATTATCTCCTGGGTAATCATGTACAGAGATTTTTTAAACATCATAAATATTTAAAATCGAATGTCATCACAGCAATTTTTGATAATTCGAGTTATTCACAAAAAAGCAATAAAAAAATGGAACAATAGAATGTTTTCAAGATTATCAGTATTCTAAAGAAATTCAGACTGTCATTAACACAATGATAACATTTATAACAAATCGATTGACACATCAATTATATTGATGTGGAATAAATTCATTTTCGAAATGATATGTAATGTACTAAGATAGATAAACTATTATCGAAATCAAAGTCTATAATGTTGTTAGACAAAATAATAACAATAACTTATCATTATTTGATATATTGTGCTAACGTGTATATACTTTTATAGTACAAAGGAATATATCATCGATATAGATGTGTCGAATACTAACTCTCTATGCTGGTTGCGACTATTGTTCTACTTCATTATATTTGTAGAACGTTAACATGTTATATACAAGCTATAGATTGCGTAAGACAAAAAAAAATCAATCGATCAGAAATGCATCAATCAACCAATAGATATTTATATTATTTATACATTTGAATGAATAGTAGTTTTATTCATTGGAATTGATTACTTTTCTCATGATCAAAAATTCACTATAAAAACTTTCTGTATGCTAAAAAAAAGACATTTTTTAATATTTATTCAAAAAATGTTTATGCGAGATTCTATCTTGTATTTGTCTTAGTACATTTGTATATTTACATGTTAACAGTTGAGAACATTTTTCAAGTATTTTATATGTCAATAGACAACTTTTGGATAAATAGATAAGTAAAGATAAGAATTAAATCGATAAACCATTGTCATTCGTAGAAGATTCAAATAAGAATTCTCTTGGATTTTTCTATTTATCGACAGAATTTCATATTTGATGACAATGAAAGTTTTTTTTTTGTGTATTGCACAGTTGATATTTTACATAATCAAATTTTATATTAGATTTTTCATATTTAAGATATATCATGGTTTGATAAATAGTATATGTTCAATTCTGACTTTTTTTGTGATTTTCTGTTTGACTATGTACATTAAATAATATCTTAAAACAGTAGAAAATAATTTAAAAAAAAAAGGTCCTTGCTGCAAGTGAGAATCGAACTGGATGTTACATATTATGATTGATGAAAAATTTATTGAGATTGAGTGTTCTGCTTTCAATTGTCATTGGCATTTGAGACAACGTTAACATCACTCAATGGCATTTTGATGCCAGTAAATCTCCATTTTACGAACGTTTTGTCTCGATTATATACGGTAAAACCTCTCTATGTAAGTAACCTCTTATTCTGACTAGGAACCACTTATTTCTGGTCCCATGAGCAATAACAACTTGTATAATGTGTACAACATATCATCTGTCACTCTCGTGCAGAACCAATCAAAATGATATTATGTGAATTGAGTTATGGTAAACAACCATGGGGACACATAAAAAGGAAATGGACTAACCGTGCCTATTTAATGGAAAAAAAACAATATTAGACAAAAGTATTTCATGTAACATATGGTCGCTTTTGTGTTTATAGCTAATAGCATCAAATCATGTCAATATGTATTGATTTATCTCTGATTTAAAAAAGTTAAATTAATTAATTGTTGGAACGAAAGGAAAAGATCAACTTGTGCTAGGGATGTGCAGTTTCAGCTTACTGATAATCGGTATAACCAACACTAACAAGAGAATCTCTTCAGCGATTCCTTTTTGATTTCAATGGTTTTTAGCCTATATATACTAAATATTATTTTAATGAAAATTCTAAAAGAATTTGGGTTCCTAATGATGTTTGACTAATCTATCGAATTTTTAATATGTCTATTTTCTAGAACCTCTAAATTTTCCGAAAACCTGGGAACTCTAGAAAATGAACATATTAAAAAATTCGATAGTTTAGACAAAACTCAAATCCCTTTGGGGTTTTTACGAGGACACTATGTAGTATCTATAGGCAAAAAGCCTTTGAAATCGGAAGGGGACATATTTTTCTAGAGTTGTTATCTAAATGTTGTACTAAGTGCTTTAGTGAATTCTGTATCAGTGACTAACCGCCAATTTTTCAGTATTTACATCAACACTACACATTCCTACCTTTTGTAGCCGGCAAACGATTACAGCTGAATATTTATAGATTACAAAAAAGAAATTGAAAACCTTCCAATAATGAGTATCTTCGTAAAATGAGCACTTTTGGATGATTCGGATGGTAGTTACATTAGAGAGATTTTACTGTAGATAATATTAAAATAATGAATTCAGTTCATCTACTACAGTTTAAAGCAAACATTGATGAATGAAATTCTATTACAAAACAAAACAACAAATAATAATCATATTGAATTGATTTATATTTCAAAAATGTTTGATATAGAAATGAATTTATTGAAGAATACAAATTCATTTATAGAACAAATAATCAAAACATTGCTAGATAATGACATCTACATGGTTATGTTTTTAATCTTTTAAGTTTTCAAAGTGCATATTACTTCTTTTATATTTTTATACAATCATTCTACTATTCTTATGAATATATATTCAGCAGAATATTTTATTTTGGAAGGTGAAAGAGTTATGATTTCTATTGTTTTTCTTTTTTTCAATATTTCTTCAAATGTCAGTCTATATAGTTCTTCGCATAACAGCACGATTACCGATCTCTTTTATAATAAAAAAAAAACAATCTAATCAACTATTCGTTATTGTAAATAGAAGGATAATACAAGAACTTTCCCATGACAACTATCTATCGTAACCATGTAATCTTTTCTTTTTTTTTTCTCGTTGATCTTTTTTAACTCGCCAGTGAATAGAAACAGCAAGTTCAACCATGATGAGCAGAAGGGGAAAAAAAATTAAAACATTATTGATGCATCACATCTCATCTCATTTCACAGGTAATTGTAAGACTTTGCTTTAAAGAAGAAAAAAAGAAAAAGAATCTTCTATTAAGAAAAGAAGAAAATAGAGAGTGCGAAAAAAAAATGATTCTTTTGAATCTGAAGATAAAAGAGAGAGAAAAGAAAACCGAGGATAAATCTACTGGCACAAGAACATCTTCACGCACGGACGAGAATGTCAAGCCGGAAAATCTTTAAGAAATATATGTAGCCATAGCTTCTATAGGTAGAATAGATGTTTCTATATTCTGCTCTTTTTTTTTTTCTTTTCTGTTTATCCTAGAAAAAAAACACACATAAAAAAGCGAGAGAATTCAATATTCGATAAAATGAATAATCATTATATCTATTTTAAATGTTCGCTCATTGTTTTTGTCATAAATAACAATTGCAAAAAAAGAAAAGAGAAAAAAAGATCATTATCTATTTTTAGATACATAATATTAAAATTAAAAATGATTCATTCTAACCTTCGAAATTTGAATATTTTTATTGTATAATATTATTTTTAATTAACAAAATAAAAAACAAAAAATGTCATCTCCCTTAAATCGTCAACATCGACGAACTGCACCTTATGTTATTATGAATAATCATACACAACCACCATCAGTTGCCTATTCAGCACGACAACCTGATCAAGAACAATCGACTAATGTTCAAAATGGTATTCAAGCATTAACTGATACTCCTCTTGAACAGCCATCTCAAGAACAAATTGAAATAACAGCTGTGTCTCTATTTGATCTTGTCCGAAGAGCGCGGGTTTGTTTGATATTTTAATTTTTTTTTATTGTTTCTTTTTTTTGGACCAATAAAAATTACATTTTTCAGGACGCATTAAATATTACAGGTGTAAGTAAATTGCATGTTATTTATTGTATACTAACTTATTGCAAAAGTTTTCTTTTTTAACTATTTGATTAATAATAATTCATTTGTAAATATATCTATATATATGTATGTGTGTATTTTTCTTTTTAAAATAGCGTCTTCGACGATGGATGCGACGAAAACATCAACGCCATGAACTTCCACAACGAACTGATTCATTTCTTGAAAAATTTGCACCATCAACAAAAAATCAATTAACTCAAAATGAACAGAGGTTTATTTTATATTTATTATTCTTTTATGAAATACGATAGAATAGGATTGTTGAAATGCATAGAGTAGAAATTTGCATCTGCCTTCAATAGACAATACTATAGACGCGTCAAAGACAATAATAGACTGGATCCATAAATCATCAGAGATCGTG